GCGAACCTCATTCAGCACCTACATCATTGAGGAAGGGTCCGCGATCGTGTTTGACGAGGAGAAAGAAGCAGACATGGTGGCGCGCCTGTTGGACTTCAAGCAACAGCTCGACGACCTGTGGAATGTTTCATTCCATCGCCATGAAGAGCTAGGCCACGTCCTTCGCGAAGCCTTCGAAACGTTCATGAACATGGGGAGAAAGTCTGCATCCACGGGAGGAACCGACAACCCCAAGACTGGAGAAATGATCGCCAAATACGTGGACCGGCTACTTAAAGGCGGCTGGAAGCTGGCTCCTACACGAAAAGCGGAGGACATGCCGTTGGCAGACGAAGATGCCGAAATCAACCGGCAACTAGATCAGGTTTTGGATCTGTTCCGGTTTGTACACGGAAAAGCGGTGTTCGAGGCATTCTACAAGAACGACCTTGCGCGCAGGCTGTTAATGGGCAGGAGCGCCAGTGACGATGCGGAAAAGAGCATGCTTTCGAGGCTCAAGACGGGTGCGTTTTCTTATTCTGAAGCCCTGCTGATCTATTGCGGGACAAAATACCGGGCTCTTACTAATGGAATTCAGAATGCGGATCAAGCTTCACACACAACCTGGAGTCCATGTTCAAGGACATGGATGTCGCTCGCGATGAGATGGCCGCGTACAGCTCCATCCAACGCGAACGTCGACACCGGCTCCCGGTCGATCTGAGCGTCAGCGTGCTGTCGGCGGCCGCCTGGCCGACATATCCCGACGTCACGGTGCGGATCCCCGCTGAGATCGCGACCAGCGTGGACGACTTCGAGAAGTTCTATCACACCAAGTACAACGGGCGGAAACTCAACTGGAAGCACCAGCTGGCACACTGCCAGCTGCGCGCCCGGTTCCCCAAGGGCGACAAGGAACTCGTGGTCAGCTCATTCCAGGCGATCGTCCTGCTCCTATTCAACGATCTCCCGGAAGGCGGATCCCTGACCTACGCACAAATCCAGGAAGCCACCATGCTGTGTAAGTGATCTATTCGTAAGGAGCACCGAACTCCCTGCTGACTGCTTTGGATGTTAGCCGATCAGGAACTGCAGCGAACGCTCCAATCCCTCGCGTGCGCGAAGTACCGCGTGCTGGCCAAGAAGCCCAAGGGGCGCGAGGTCCACAAGACGGACGAATTCGCCTACAACCCGGGGTTCTCCGACCCGAAGATGCGGATCAAGATCAATCAGATCCAGCTGAAGGAGACCAAGGAGGAGAATAAGACGACGCACGAGCGGGTCGCCGCGGATCGGCACTACGAGACGCAGGCGGCCATCGTCCGCATCATGAAGAGCCGCAAGACCATCACCCACCCGGAACTGGTGGCCGAGGTGATCAAGGCCACGCGCAGCCGGGGCGTCCTCGAGCCGGCGGAAATCAAGAAGAATATTGAAAAGTGAGTTTGCCACCAACCGTTCCTTTTTAAACACACAGCTTCGGACTAACCATGCTATCAACCTGCAGGCTCATCGAGAAGGATTACATGGAACGCGAGGAAGGGAACCGGTACCAATATGTGGCCTAGAGCGCCTCTCTTCCTTTTGTTTGGGGCGTGGTGCTATGGTGTGCTGGTGTAATGATTTCAGCTTACCATCTCTCCATCGTATTGATGATGATTACGGAGTAACCTTGTTAATATCACTATGGCATGATCATGACCTGACCTGGTTTTTGGTGAAGGGAGTGCAGTGCAGTAGCAAGAGAGGTGGTGGTAGTGGTAGTGGTAGCCTGTAGGAGGACGTTGGCAACCTCGAACCTGCAGTAGGTTGCATGGTTGAATAAAATCAAGAACCAACCCCTCCCACCCTCATTCGTGGAATCATCTCAATGATCACCAACTTAACTAGATCGACTGATCCGTCATCGCTGGTAATTCTAGATCACGTGGTGAAGAATCGAAGCAAGGCGACTCGGGGTCTGCTTGTTCGGACGTTAGCTTGTAGTTGTTGAGATGAAGAAACTTGTGAAATTGCAGGATTTTATTGTGAAGAAAACTTGTTGAGGTATTACTATACCAATCCCTTAGTTCGCAGAATCATCATTAAGAGAATGTACTCGTTTAGCTATAGATTTTTCTACCGATTTTAGATCTGGATTAATACTCTCATGAACCCTTTTTACACCAACCTTGTCGTGTAAATTGTTAGTATTGGGGATTTTGACAATTGACTTGTTAGAATATGCAGTGTTAAGATTTGAATTTTTAGAATGTGTATTGTTAGCATTTGGATTGTTAGTCTCTCCACAACACCATATTGAATGTTGTATAAACAGAATCTAGGTGAAAGACCGCTCGCTATAAGCCAAACCAAAGCCCCAGACAGGAGAGGCTAAAAAACCAGCAAAAGAAATGAGCTCCGATAGGGGGAATCGAACCCCCGGCTGCCGTGTGAGAGACGGCGATGTTAGCCACTACACCATATCGGATGTTGTATGAAAAGAGCCATTGTAGAAGGTTACTATGACCCAAAAATAACCCCCCGGGCAGGAGAAGGCGGCAACGCTGCACCGCACCTCCTCGGGATAGTTGCTTGATCGAGCCAGTTCTCTGATCGGAGCCGAAGACTTCACGTGTCTATATCAGTACAGGACGGAGTACAGTACAGTAGTTCCATAATAGCCCCAAAGCATCCTGCATGATGCAGGCACTAATGATCACTAGGTACTATACTACTCGTAAACCGAACTTCTAAGCAAACCCCCCACCTTACCGCAAGGTAAGCTACAGCTGCGTCGCTGCCGATATGGCCCCGGCCTGAGGGAGTTCCTGCCACCAGCACCGCGGCGCAGCCAATTCTCTCATCCGAGAAATCTGACTGCCCGAGGAGAGCAAACAATTACTTACTGATCATCGGAGTCAATTTTCTTTACCCTGCTGGAAGGTACAATACAAGAAATAGAGTAAAATGGTAGACCATTACCCTAATATAGAACGGAGCTATCTTGCATGTCATAGGGCTGTATATCAGTAGGATGGATGGACTGGGAGCTCGATGCTTCTGTCTGGAATTTGATCCAAAAGATAGACAAAAAGTTTTTATGACTGGGTGCCTTAGAAGGCCATGTCTCTCTCTCTCTCTCTCTCTCTCTCTCTCTCTCTCTCCGTACTGGTCATCGATTCTCCAACAGATGAGAGGGATGTTCGGATTGTCTGCCCCGCCGATAGAACACACTCTGTGGCGATCTTGCGATTTGCTCGAAGCATCGACGACCCTTACTTCCGGCCAACAAGATAATGTCATATAATTTATGTACACAGAATTCAAAGAATGAATGGTTGGGGAGAACATCCAGCAGCACAAACGCTACTGCAATCGGAAGAACCTACAGATCGAGAGATTACTCCAATCGTTCATCTGCCGCTGCAGGTCTCCGAACACAAAAGCTTGCAAACAATGTGCTGGATGCATGAATCACAGGCCCATGGTATGAGAAAGTAGTACCTCAGTGGCCTGGCTTGTAGAGGCAAAAGTGGGCGGTGAACACCTTGGCCAGACTCGGCGGAAGATAGTAGCCGGCTCCATCAGCCTCAGTCCCCTCGCGAAGCTGGCACGGCGTGCCCGAGGTGGTCACCAGTTCACCGGTGGTTTTCACCGTGTAATCCGTGTAGAGTACAGGAAGGTTGAAGAAGCATGGTGGCAGATTGTCGATCGCGTATCCCGAGCCTGGGATGATGCTCGTGGAAGGATCGTAGGTCCCGTTGTAGCCTTGCGCGGTCTGGCACTGGAGCGAGCTACTGATCAGAGCCGGGAGGTTGATGTTATACTTATCATACAGGACGTCGAAGAAATCCGCCGAGAGGGGGTCGGAGAGATCCGCGTAGTAGGAGCCTGACCCGGGTTGCTCGAGGGTGTAGCAGACCGACCCCGCGGAATCGAGATCCAGCACCGTGCCTCGACTGCCGGGGCAGTTGTCGATCGAATCGCCGTTCTGGATGATGTAGACGTTGGAGCTGGCTAGCATGTATCCCACGAGTGACTGTTGGATCGCGGTCATGAGACCAGTGGCAACATTGCCGCATGCCATATCAGGGTCTGCGAATCGACCCCCGGCGAAGAATTTAGCCATGTCGGTGGTATAATATTTCCCATATGGATCGGCCGAGGTGTCGAGTGCGTAGTCCGGAAAAGAAGACAGATCACCTGTCTCGAAAACGGCTTGAGCCAGATTGACCAAGCTCGTGTTGTACTGCTGGACCACCACGGAGAGCCGATCTGAGAGAGCAGTGCCCGGCTGGGCTAAGAAAGCATTGCTATCGGCTGGATCGCTGGGACTGTCTAAGACGGAGATCATGCTGAATACTCCGCCCAAAAGCGCTGCAAAAGAACTGGCAAAGGTACTGATTGGGCCGAGACCGCCACTGAGAATAGTGAACCCTGCGGCCATGGCCCCCATGATCTTGACCAGATCTGCTTCGTCGCTCTTAGGTGTTAAATAATCGGCAACAGCATCAACCATATCCTCAATCCCCAGAGACGTAATGAAGCCATCCTCGAATACAGACGTGGACATCTCCCGCAGACATCGCTGGAAGATGGAAAAGGCCCGCTGAGCAAAGAAGTATGGAACTTGGTCGTTTGAAACTGGGCAGGTATCGGGTAGTTTGCAAGCGTTATCATTGGTAATATCTGAACAGCCGGTGACGCCTGCTATGGTGTACTCGTTGAAGTAGGAATCAATGTTTGGAAGCGTGGTAGTCAGGACTGAGGAAAGATTTATTAGACGGCATAAGTGAAAACAGGAGGTGCCTTTACTTACCATGGCTAGTTGATAACGCATGACGCGTCGTCTCGAATTCCAAGGCCAAGCCAGCCTGGCTGACTTCCCATGAAGTGACTGCCGTGTCGGTCAATGTCAACAGACCCTTGCAATCGATGGTGTCATCCGTGGTGGTATTCAGAGGCGTATACCGCAACACAGTCTCTTCGTAAGTGCAACCGCTGCCGCCATCACCCGAGACTAAAGGCAGAATCTGATAGTTGAGGTTGTAGAAACCTTCCGTGCAGCTGGAAGCGGGGCATTTCCCTCCTGATGCTGAATATAAGACCGTTGTACCTGTTTTGGGGGCAAGTACCATGGAGACCGAGTACCCAGCATTGATATTCGGCCCTTGAGCAAAGTTCAGTCCGGCACTTAAGTCGGTCACCACAACTTGGTCATCAGTTGCTGTAGTGATGATGAGCTCTAGGTCGCTAGGAGCGTACCCTCCAACTGTATCATCGAGGACAACGGCCCAGTGCGTGGTTAGCGAAAATGTTTCGTACCCCGCTGGTTTATCCCAAAACGTGTATTCTCCAATCCCTTCGAAAGGGCAGGTATCGTCAAAAGCAAGCGTGTGGTACCAGATGGCCCCCACCGCATCTTCTCCATTCTGAGGCCGCATATCAGATGGACCAGCAGACGCTCTGAATGCTGTGGCGAAAGACTGGATGATAGGCTGGAGGGCATTGTGGGGCCAAATGTCATTGGCGTAGTTGTTGGGTGCCGCATCAGTGTTCTGCTCAGGCCACAGGTTTCCAATATAATGTCCTTCCGGTCCATCATTCTATGCTTGTCAGTGATTCACTTCCTATAGATCTGTGAGGCCTCGAGAAGAGCCACTTACCCAGGTGATATATTCCACAAACTCGAGCGCATCACTCTCGATTTCCAGAATATCATGAAGTCGTTGCATGAAATTTGTCTTTCCTTGGCGATAAACATTGGTCGAGTACTGAAATGCAATCAGCAAGGTACTTAATGACCAGGGAATAGGGGGATGTTCACCGAGTTCTTATACTGCATCAAGCTCAGGGCTATAACCTCATAATTAGCGACTGGAAGCCTCAATCAACGGGAGTGAGGAGAGACCCACGAATCATGTAGGAGGCGCCCTCAGTCTCAGCCGCATCGATAATCACCTGGTCGCGAGCCACTCCTCCAGTGCCTCCGCTCTGGTCGGCGGCGTCTTGACCCAACGCTGGCCATGCGGATTCCCAACTGAACAGCCCGTCGGTGAGGTTTCCCCAGTAATACCACCAGCCAGCGTCACTCGACCAATAACCCTCGGTGTCGCCGAGATCGGGAATCCAATAGACATCATATTTGCCATTGTTCTTCACGGATAACTTGAAGGCGTTCCAAGTGTCCCATGTGCCTCCACCGGAGCTATAAGTACTCACCATGTATTTGTCATTCACCTTGTAGTATGCATCATAACCCATAGCATTGACACACATATCGACATAGCCTGCAGGGCCCTGACCACATGAGGGGCCCCCGGATGCGTACACATCCATACTGATGAAGATACCGAAGTCATAGTGCTGGTTTCTGATATAGTTGTCCATCTCTAGAACAAGATTATTAGCCCAGCTATCCGTTGGGCATTGGACGTTCAGAGCAAATCCATCAAGGCCCATAGCAACGGCATCGTCCACGTCTTGATGAATATGATCGGTTGTGATGTTGCCGACCTAGAATCGTGAGTCTTCTGCTTTGATTGTGTCGATTTGTGGGGTGGTTTGCTCACCATGTAGTGGGCAAAGACTGCACGGCCCGTAGTCGGCACTATATGTGCCGACATTGCCATTAGGCAAAGCAGCCATTCGAAGATTGACATTTTTGCCCTTCGGCTGACCCGGAGGCACAGCATGTTCAGGCTGCTTGTTCTTTCTCGCGGGAAGAGCTACTAGAGCTCGAGAGAAAAAAGATGAGGAAGTTGAGACAGACTCGCGATGAGGCTGATGTTGCAGGACTGATACCTGTAGGAGATCAGGCCTTCCATGCTTTTATATCCATTGCGAGCGAGTGTTGTTCTGGGCATGCCGCCACTTCTGGGACAGGAGCACTGCTAGTCCTTTTGGAGAAGAAGTTGGCGATATACGAAGCTTGGTTAATATGGAGCTGGAAGTCCGGTATAGACAGTTTGCAGCGGACCTGACTAGACCTATTCGGGGCAGCACTTGTCGTCTTAGTGCTAGAACTAGGAGAGCTTCCATCTTAGCTTCTATTCAATCACTTCATTAGGGGACGAAACAAGATTTGTCCAGCGGTCCCCTTTGGCCTTTGGAAACAAAGTACCTCATTTGGAGAAAGTCATTAGTGTCGCTACGGTGGGCGTTAGTAGCATGGCAAACAGTCAATTCCACTTAACCCCTAACCACGGCTGGATATAGCTGACTCATGGCTAACCACACGTGGAATATACAATCTACAACATTCCGATATTAATCTAGATACTATCCTTCCACATGGACCCTTTTCTAAGTGAATCCCTGTGAGAAATGTAAGCTACATCAATACTAACCACAACAGATGCTGTTGAACAACATCATAGTGACACAAATCAAACCATCCTTCCATAAATCCGTCCTACACTTAAGAGTCACCAATATGAAGGGTTCTTATCATTGGCTCTAACCTATATCAAAAGGGGGAGCGAGTTGTAAGTACTACTAGTACTAGCCTACTAAGCTATTGTTCATCGGGCTTATTTCAGGGACCAACAGGGTATAAGGGTTAGTTCGCCCCTCGGTTTCGGCGACGGACCCTCCGCTAGCCTACTACAGAGCGCAGACTTTCGGCTTCGAGGGGCTATTTCAATTCCTTCTCAGGTCTCTCGCGGTAAAATACTACAAAAGTCCTAGTGTCCGCTGACCTGAAGCCCTGCACAATGGCTCGGTCCGCTTAGGGGCCTTCTTGACTGATGGCTAGGTGGTGGGTCGTGGCGTCCAGCCTCGGAGATGAAGGTGAGACCCACCGCGGTCTGCAGAGTGCGGACCCTTTCCCCCTGAGCCTCAACTGACTGCTAATCTAATTAGGCCTAGGTGGTGGGCAGCGTCCGATTGTGATGATAGGACTTAGCGCTTGTAGGTTGGGGGCCTCGCCACGAGCACACTGCTGCAGAGCCTCGAGAGATGGTGCACGGCTGCTGGTGTCTGGCTTCTGGGGATAACGCATTGCTTCTTTAGCATGCATCCTAGGTTATGGCATCTTTGACATATTGGCAGTCCCTCGGAGTATGGTCAAGGTATCGATTTTTTAAGAGTATTCCTTGAATACCTGAAGTTACGCGGATGAGACAAGCACGTTGCAGTCACCTAGGGAGCAAAAAAACAGCAACTTCATCAGCACTAGGTGTGCACAGAGAAAGCCAATTTGTGGCATAGAAAATCAAGTGGTCAAATTAGCCTTTCTCTGTTGGAACATGTGAGATGAATTTGAAAAGCACGATGATAGATATCGGTCCGAAAGTGACTTGGCTTTCGGCGAACAACCACAATAACAACAAATATCTCAGCGAGCATGTGGGGATAATATAACATGGCAACATCGAAAACCGAAAACGACTTGGGAGAAAAAAAAAAAAAAAAAAAAACTCCCCTGGTCAGGTGAGTCGGCAGCGCATCCCGAGGCGAACATCCAGCTCATATAATAGACGTTGTCGCATACATGCACCGCTGCTGCAATAAGCTATCATGAAACAGCACCTAGCCTGGCAGGTGAGCCGAGTGGCCGGAAATGGCAACTCGGAAAGCGGTCCACGGTAACAGAAATTGCCGGCAGGCACGGAGGAGGTTCAAGCTGGAGCTTGAATGCACAGGGTCTAGGCTATGTTTTTGCTCATTTGGAAAGAATTCTTTGTTCACGTGAAAGGCCAGATTATGCATCGACCTTACGGAGTTACGGTGGACATGCAATGATTCTCACTTTCCGAGTGTTAGTACGAATTGAATAGGCAAGAATCGTCCGATTTAGGACGGTGTACGCGCCCCCGCACTATTCCTGGGATTCCCGCTGCATCGATCTGACAGCGGAGCTTTGGAACTATTACTCTTCTGCCGCCCTTCCATTTTTTTTTCAAAGTCCCATGATCGGGTTTCTCCTGCAGGGAAGGGGCTGAAATGTTGATGTCGATGTGGTTACTACTAGTACGTATAGATCTTATGCATACCAGTTGTCCGCAAGATTGTCTCAACTGGCAACAGGTTGCAGAAATATGTGCTGGATTGAGACAACCGGGCATGCTTGACGTGCTTTGCGATGCATTGTGGCTCGAATGATCAATTGTTGCACAACAAACCTGTATCAACTTGCCACGCCATTGCAAGATACGGGGCGGAGTACTCAGTAGAATCCTCCGAGACCAGAAGGATTACGCACCGGTGACATCGACTGGATAAGCCACCAAATGAACTCGCCTTGACGATTAGCCGGTTGTTGAGTCTGTCACGAAAGGTCCCGTGCAGTACGAAGTACTCATAATACTGTACAATCAGTAGGTTAATGCTTCAACCGACTAGCGCATCTGCTGCTCTGCAGGTCCGAACAACTCTTTGAATTCTGCATCCAGACTCGGGTCGACTGTACTGTACTAGGTAGAGGCATGTCGCGGGCAAGATTGGCGGAAGGACCGCGGAATTCCCGCAAAGGGTAAGCCGAAGCGCTTCTGTCAAGGTTCCAGACCCATGGGGTAACGTTGGCGGGGCTGGTACAAGGGGAAAACTACTCCCAATTGCCAGATCCAGAACCCCGGCATACGATCCATTGAACACACAAGTCAAGTCATGCGAAACCACTTGTTCATGTGAGCAGCAAAAAATTGATTGTCCACGGAAGGGGGACAACAATTGGGAGCATTGAGTGGACAGAGTGGGCAAATCGAACTATTGGGGAAACAGGTTACTGCGTCTACTCCTCATACTCCTCATACCACTGCTTCTTACGCCATGTTGAAGTCGCGGTTACTCATACTCGTTCTCTTCGCGACTGGTATTTAGCCCGGCTGTTGCGCCCTCATCCTTGGGCCTATTCCTGGTCCAATCCCTTTTCTTTTGGTTGATTCTCGTGTAATTGTCACTTGGTTGGTCTCTTCAGTTGGCCCAGGTTATCCGTCCAATTGATCCCGAACTGTCTTCCTTCCGCCTCTTGTCAAGTGATTGCAACTGGTGAGTACTGCTAAGCCAGGATCCTCCTCTAGGAGAACATCTCAATGGTTTCTCTTTCCCCAGGCTGACAGCTGCCAGACCCAGTAGAATCGGGCTTCCCCACTTCCCCGCCTCATCCGGCTTGAATTCCGATCCCAACCATTGCGCCTCGCCCAGACTCGCTGTCGTCGTATTGTCGCACAATCGTGACGCTCCATCCTGTGATACTTTCGGTTCGGAAGGAAGAGATCAAGTGATTATTCGCAAAGGCGTCTTAGATCCCCAAGACAGGCTATATATACCAAGAAGACCGTGCGCGAATTCCACCATCCCGCAAACCCCATACTTCGATCGGTTCCACTTGCGAAACGGTTCGTCTCCATACACATTTTAACGTCATACTTAACCGGAGATCGTCCATCAGACCTTCCACAAAATGCAAAGTAGGTTCCACACCCTCATGCGATCTTACATAGTCCTGTGGAAACTCGGTAGCCTGGCTGGTTTGCTAGGAGCCCCCATGCAGGCCCAAAAACCTGTCCCATGGTCAATCCAGAAAGTCTACATTAGATTGTTCCATCCACTAACGCCGGCCCGTTAGCCAAACACTTCTTCTCCGATCCCACCCATTTGGTCCAGACCGCTCTGCACTCCCTCACCCTCACAAACCCATCGGTAGCATTCGACCCCGAGAACAAAATTATCTTCCGTCGCCCCAATGTGAATTCAAAGCCCAAGGTCGCCATTATATCGGGTGGTGGTTCTGGCCATGAGCCTGCTTTCGCAGGCTTCGTCGGGAAGGGGTTCCTTGATGCTTCCGCAGCCGGTACGATCTTCGCTTCGCCCTCGGCGGAGCAGATCCGCAAAGCCGTCATGGAATGCGTCAACAGCGACCAGGGTGTGCTCATCATCCCCATGAACTACACGGGCGACGTACTCAACTTCGGTATGGCCACGGAGAAGTCGCGGGCTGCTGGCATCAAGACTGAGTTCTTCGCTATCAATGACGATGTCGGTGTGGGCAAGAAGAAGGGAGGCAAGGTCGGCCGTCGTGGTATCGGCGGCGGTGTTCTCATTCTGAAGGCTGTCGGTGCTTTGGCTGAAGCAGGGTTAGTTTTACGCCTTCAACGCGACAGGTCCTTGCGCAGTGGAACTAACTTCAGCATAGTGGCTCATTGGAAGAAGTGTATCACCTGGCCCAGCTAGCGAACAATAACCTCGTATCGGTGGGGTCTTCGCTCGAACACGTTCATGTTCCTGGCCGGGGTGTCCCCGAAGACACAATCCCGGAAGGCGAAGTCGAGGTCGGAATGGGCATTCACAATGAGCCAGGATCCCACCGGGTGAAGGCGAATCTGGTTGAGCTGGTCGCCAACATGCTTCTCCAGCTTCTGGACCACAATGATCCCGACCGCGCTTGGGTCACTCGCAAACCTGAGGATGACTTTGTGTTGTTAATCAACAACTTGGGTGGCGTTAGCACATTGGAACTTTCCGGCATCACGGACGAGGTCTACCGTCAACTCGACAGAGATTACGACGTTCAGCCGATCCGAGTCATCCAAGGGACCTTCCTCACCAGCCTCAACGGGCTGGGCTTCAGCATCTCCTTGCTGAAGCTGGTAGATACGGGGCTGGGCCCCGGCCGGTCCTTCCTTGACCTCCTCGATGCACCTGCGGAAGCTGTCGGTTGGTCGGCCCCCATCAGCCGGGAGACATGGAAGCATCGCACCGATGCTCCTGTGAAGATCAAGAGGACTGCGTTGGCGGAGGACAACCCAAGCAACGTGAAGTGTAAGTGGCCCAGCCGATATCTTGTTCCCTGCACCGTCCTCAACATCACTAACACCGGACAGTGGACGTCAACATCCTGAAGAAGGTCCTCAGCAGCGCTCTCAAGCGCGTCATTGCCGCCGAGCCCGAGACCACGCGCTTCGACACCATCGTCGGCGACGGCGACTGTGGCGTCGGCCTGAAGCGAGGCGCCGAAGCCGTGACGGCTCTCCTGGAGAGCGCCTCATCCAACCTGACCGACGACGTGGTCCACGCCGTCAACCGCATCGTCAGCGTCGTCGAGAACACCATGGACGGCACCTCCGGCGCCATCTACGCCATCTTCCTTAACGCGCTCGCTCACGGCCTCCGCGAACAAGACCAGGGCACCGCCACCCCGGCCACGGTGGACGTGTGGGCCGCAGCGTTGAACTACTCGCTCTCCGCGCTCTCGAAGTACACCCCGGCGCAACCGGGCGACCGCACTCTGCTTGACGCCCTGGTACCCTTCTGCAAGACCCTGCAGGAGAGCAAGGATGTCCACGCCGCGGCGAAGGCGGCGCAAGAGGGGACCGACTCCACCAAGCACATGAAGGCCAGCCTGGGACGCAGCGTGTACGTCGGCGGCGAGGATGAGTGGGTGGGCAAGATCCCCGACCCCGGTGCTTATGGGCTCAGTGAGTTCTTGAACGGACTGGCGGAGGCCCTTGGAGTTTAGTAGCTAGGGCTAAGGCAGGGATGTTGGGGGGTTTCATCGTACATATACTTTGGAGCGTTCGAAGTTCTAATTCTTAATACAAATAATGACCATGATACGAGGTTGCTGTGCTCAACACCTTAAAAGAACATCCCCACATGGGATAAAGCTACTAGCGCATCGTAACCCAAACCCGGCGTTCGGACGAATACAGAAAAGTCTTTCCATTCTACTCGCAGAAGGTCTATTAGGAGAACACCGTTGGCTAGGCTCGAGTGACAGTAAGAATAAAGGGCGTGTAGCAAAAACCCAATACTTCAGAAACGAATCCTCGTTACACTGTTTACTAAAAGGGGAGGGGAGAGAGGTCCGCCTGAAGTAACTTGAGGGGTAGATCTATTATCTCCTGTTTTTGTATTAGGCATCAGGTGAATGGCACCCTACATAGCTAGCATCACAGCAATGGGCTCAATCAGGGTGACAGAACCATCCTGACCGTCCAACTGCCGAGTCAGCAGAATGAATCACGAGAAGCTTTCTCTTTACCGTTCTTTCATTCCTTTTTTCTAACTTTTTTTTTTCCAAAACCACAGAAGTACCGAAGAACGCCATATCTGTCGCGCCACAACGAGAAATAGCAAAGGAGGGAGAAAGGACATCAGATCATAGATATCAAAAGAAGTATGTAAGAGAGGGCCAGACAGGCAAATGACAGTCCATTGAAAAAAAAAAAACAGAAATCTCCCGGGTTTGGGGGGGTAGGAAGGGTGGCTGGACCCCCTTCCCCCAACCCATGGAACCCCAATATGACCCTGAGAGGAGTCCTTTTCATCTTTCGAGCAAGCCAAACGAACACCAGGGTATCAAATGAGAAAGTCATGGCCCCACTCCGACTTTTCCCCATGGCATTTGCCGAAAACGCTCAAATCAACGATAGCCTTTCATCTGGGCATTTTTTAGACAAAGATCCTCGGAGGAAGAGAGCCACGACTTCTTTTGACCTCCCCCGGACGCCGAGATTTAGGGGAGCATGTCACGCGGAAGGTACATGGCGAGGTTGAGAAGCTTGCTCAGCTCAGCAGGACGAGGATGACGGAGTCACCACGCAGGAACCTGCACAAATTGATGGGTCAGTAAAGAGACGGGTTCAAGTAGGGCGAAGGGTCTTTTTCGGCGACTCCTCGGTAAAAATCGGTAAAAAAGCGCGGGCACGTACATCTTGCTGATGAACCGGTCCTTGTTGACACCCTTGCCCTTGCCGCCCTTAGGCTTCTCCGTCCACATCTCCTTAACGTTCTCGAGGACCATGTTGCAGTGGCGGTCGAAGGCCTTGACGCGCGCCAGCAGCTTGCGGTTGTTCCGGCACGAAATCAGCACTTGGGTGTGTGTGCGCGTGGCGGTCTGGAGGAGCGAGAGGGGGCCCGCGGTGAGCTCGTGTTCCTCGACGAGGGAGACCTCATATTCACTATTGGAGGGTTGGGGTTAGTGTGATGCGGATGGGGATGGGGGATCGTAGACAATGTAGGCCGTGATGGGGCATGGTGATGACGAAAGGAAGGATGGAGATAGGCGCGGGGTAGGGACAATGCCCAATGAGTGGCAGCAGCATTCAAGTGGCATCATCCTGTCGCCGACACCAGAAACGTCGGGGCTCGGTGGTCGTCATCATGTGACGACGCGGATTGGGGAGAGTCCCAGAGCTTTTGAGGGAGGGGGATAGTTCCAGGTGCTGGGTTGAATAGGGTGATAAGGTACGAAGAGCACAAACGTACGTGAGCTCGCTCTTGGGCTTGTTGAGCAGGTCCCTGTTGGATTGGAAAATGGTTGGTTAGCCTGAGGTCCGACCAGTTGCGCGGTTGCGGTTGCGGTTTATTTCATCTCATGGAAGGATGGAATGAGCTAGAGCTGACTCATCTAAACAGGAAGACAGGAAGAACCAGAGAGGGGTAAGTAAACGTACTGGATCTTAGGATCGGTCGACATTATGGGTAGTGATGGTAGTGGGTGGGATGGGGGTAGGAAAAAGGTATAAGTATCAGGGAGTTGGCAGCTTCTCTCTCGACCGTCGGCTTCTCTCGAACTTCCAACTTCCAGTCTCTCTTCAGGTTAGACTGGGATTGTCCAGGTCCGCCGCAGCTTCGGTCATTTCACGTCACGTGAAACGCGTGTTTGCCGTGTTTGCCGTGTTTGTCCGCTAGTGTTTCCCGAGGTCGCGATTGGCTGCGTCACGTCGCGTCGGACAGACACGCTTCTAGACGTGAGGGCGGATCGTCCAAGCTTCAAACCACCACTTCCACTTCCACTTCCACTTCCACTTCCTCCACTTCGTTCAAATGCAAGGCGTTCTGCTCTTCTTATCCTGCTTTCCACACGCACACACACTTACACCCTCTCTCTCCTTCTTCTTATTAACCCTCACTTCCCCTTCAATCCATCTCAGCAGATTGTCTAGCTGTTGAAGAGGAAGCAGAGGAGAGAGAAGAAAAAAAAATAAAAACAAGGGGTTTCTGTTTCCTGCAAAAACTCTCCTTTTCGAGCTTTTCCCCTTGCAACCCATGCCTCGAGTTTAACGGCCTCCCCTCCTTTTACGATTCAGTGTCCCGCGTTAGCATTCCTTCAGGGCCTTCCCCGCGACCTGCCGTGCATACATTCCAGTGCATTCTCCCGGTCGACACACTGGCCTATCAGACGATTCTGAGTGGTCAATCCGACACGATCAATCTTCCTTGCTTCAAGTTCGACACCGACCATTGAAGCCCGTTCTCTCGACTGTCATTTCGCTCGACTCGACCTTCGTTCTCACTAAGCTCGGTGCATCCTACAACAATCCAGTCCTCGCCAACCACTCATTTACACCAACTCTTGGTTCCTGCTTCTGCTTATGGTCAATTCGCTAGCACTGGTGGCATGGAATCCCAGGACGGAATTTCCGTCCGGCCTATGAGGCGTAAGTCTATTCCTTCAATTGCTACCTGACCCCTCACAATCACCTACTCACCGAAATCACCCTTTTTAGTGAAGGTGCTCTATACGTTCGACGAGTCCAGCAAGACCAATTGCTTGGCCCGGTGGCCCCATCTCCTCGACATCCAGACCGCCGCCCTCGACGAGAAGCTGCAGATCGGTGTCATCGAGCTGAAAACATGCATCCAGGCCATTGTTTCGGCAAGGTGAGTGCTAAGGATGGAGCTGGATACCTGGTTTTTGTACTCATTTTCATCGTCACAGCCCGGAACTGGTTGCCAAGCTCGGACAGGACTACACCGTCTACGCCTACGATTACTCCGAGTATGAGACGCCTCTGGTCGGACAGGGAATGCTGTCGTGGGTGCTTGCGTCGGCTTCTCCCACTCCCGACGCCCCCGCCCATCAGTCGAAAACCATGGTTACCGGTCGAGTGTGCAAGAACGTTCTGGGTCTATTTTCCAAGGGTGCTCAGGAGACGTTGGAGGTGAAATTGCGGTTGGTGCCGGTCCCCACCGTCCTGCAGAGCGAGTATCTCGAGAGCATGCAGAAGTACCGGGAATTGAGCAACGTCATTCCTCACGAATTCGACGCCCAGGCTTGGACGAGTTTTGTGCGGCAAAACCCGGGTTTGGTGTCTCCCCGCGAGCAGCAGCCGGACCCCATAGCATCACCAGTGGATCATGCCGGAATTGAGAGGTTCCACCAATTGCTCAGTGAAGGGTCGACGCCAAGGGAGCTACCATCAATGGCTGGAAATGCGTCGATACGCTCGGCTTCCCCCGCGCAGTCGGCGCTCGGCCCCGTGAGCAGAATCCCCACTCCCGCGCAGCAACACGAGCATACACAGCAACTTCAGCACCAGCAAGACCGTTTACACAACGATGCCATCCGGCCCGGCTCCAGTGCTTCGATGCGTGACTCGGATCTCCCCGCTCACTCGAGATACCCCCCCAGTCGTCGAGGCTCCATTCAATCAGGCTACGGCAGTGGCGACGAGTCTTCGGAACAACAACCCCGCAAACGGGCCAAACTGTACCGGGCAGAGTGGCCTGGAAAGTCCGACTTGAATATCGAGAGACAACCCAGCTCTCTGCGGGTCGCCGCCAGCACCGCAGCCTCTGTTCGAATCCATCGCCCTACTCCGGTCAACCCCGCCATTGCTGCTGCTCAGAACTCGAATGAAGAGCCCGTTCGCCCCCCCACCCCAATCTCTAACTCACATGATATCGCTCGTCGCGCACGGCCTCCTCCCAGCTTGCTCCGCGAGTCATCCCTTCACACGCCCTACACCTCTCCGTATCCTATGAGCGATGATCACCCCACCGGCGATAACCAGTCTCCTGAGTCGCGCTACCAGGGCCTCTTCGAGCCTTCGTTCAGTATGCCATCGTCGCCTCCCGTTCTCGACTGCGGGTTTCCAGGCCGCTCCAGCCCTGTCCTTCCGCCCATGGCCGATTCGGGCTTCATGAGTGGTGGTATGGATGAGCTGCTGGATGAAGAAATCGGCACCCCTCTGAACGATTCAACTGGCGCAGGCAGAGAGAAGCGGTTTGTCCGTCCTGCTGCACATGCCAGCTCGCCTATCACCGCGCCCGCCAACATGGAGAACTTCCCGGCCAGCGACGCTCCAGACCAATCTGGAAAGGAAAGAACACCCGCTCCAATCCGCGCACCAGCCAGCAACGCCGGCTCGAGGCCGTCTTCTCGAGCTAGTATGAGACAAGCTCCTAAGCCGCTTGCACCTGCACCCATGTCGCAGAGTGAGCTCGAGCAGCTGATCAGCGCCATTCCCGCCAGCGATCCAATCCTGCCTTCTCATGTCAACACGCACAACTCCCAGGCCTGGGCCGGACCGATGAGTGACTACAATGGTGCTGAGACCCCGGCCCCGCAGCCTGTACTCGAGGATGGCAAAATCCGCAGTGGCACAGGCGCTCGCCGGTTGCGACAGGTTCAAGCACGTCTCGATCGGTGCATCCGTAGCGGTCAGGTCCCACCTTACTGCGAAAATTGCGGTGCCATCGAAACCCCCACCTGGCGCAGAGCGTGGTCGAAAGAGTTCGAAGGCAACGAAGACGACGCTAATAAACTCACGGAGGATCCTACCATGTTGTTCTGGCAGGCTGTTGAACGTGACGATCAAGAAAAGGTCACCAAGTTCAAGGTCTACAAGAAGAGCCTAGCCGACACCGACAACGACTTTGTTCAGGTTCTTCTTTGCAACCGTAAGTGATACCTGCCTAATTTCTGCCTTGTTTGTACTAACTTTCAGGAAGCCTGTGGTCTTTGGCTGCACAAGTTCAAGTGCATGCGCCCGGAAAATAAATGGAATAAGACCGCCAGCAACAAGAGAAAGCGTCCTCCAAGGAACCGCAAGGGAGGCGGCCCGCTCTCGACCAACAACAACAACAACCCTGCAACGAGACACCGTGCCCGGGCCGAGTCCTCCAAAGCGGAAGAATCGTCTCCTGGAGCGTCTGATGCCTCTTCCCCTGCGGTGGACGATGCCACTCCCCGTGGCGATAATGACAGCAACGAGGCTGGGAACAACAACGAGCAGGATCATGCCGGGACCCAGGAGCAGCCTGCCAAGCGGCGCCGTGCCAACAGCCTGGAGCCGCGCAAGTCGAACGACACCGCGGCCAGTCGCTGGCAGGAGCAAGACCCGGTGGCTGCTCTCCGCGACGCGATCCAGTCTAGTCCTGCGAGAAACGTGGTGGGGCGCAATGCTCCGGCGGCAGGCGAGAATGCTCTTACTCCCAAGTCAGTGAGAAGAGTGCTTTTTCCTAACTCCCAGAATGAAAGTGGACCGTTGAGAGCATTGGGTGACTCAAGCGTCAACAGCCCACGCCGCAGCCCCCGCAGTTCCCGGGCGGCCGAAAAGCAGGCTGACGATAAAGAGAACCAGACGGCGACCAATCTGGACGCACTCTTTGAGAGCCCGAGTTTCGGATTCGACCTGCCCGTGAGCCCGACCCCTCGGCGACGCAATCAGCGGTCGGGTCTGTTGAGCGAGAAGCGCCTTTCCTTGCCGTGCATCTCCCCTTCAGCGAAGGCACGGAGAGGAGTCGCTGCGGATACGTCCCCTACCAGACTCACTGCGCAAAGACTTCAGCGCATCCAGAGCAGCCCTGGCCCCATGCCGCGTCAGCACAAGACCCCGAAGCAGGCTCGATCGACCTTGAGTGACCTTCAGCTGCCTGTCAACGCTTTCGGCGGTTTCGGGGGGATGGACAGCATGATCGTTGACATCTTCTCCGACGCGCCTTCGGCCGCAGCCACGGACGCACTGTTCGGAATTGATAAGTGTGCTGCGGGCAACAGCTGGCCTGACTGGATTCCGTCCGATTATGTTTCTCCCACTGGATCCGAGGGCGAGGCGGGCAACGGAGACTCGGGAGCGAGTGGGGACGACCCGCGGGATCTGCTCAACGCGCTCATGGCCGACCCGGAGCTCCAAAAGACCAACCAGTTTGATATCTTCAATTATGTTGAAACGAACGTGCTCGACTCCGGATTCTTCAGCTCCGACGCCATCAATCCTGAGACAGTGCCGGCACTGGGTGTCAAAGACAAGGCTGCGGAGTCCGGCACTGGGCACGAGGCACAGCCGAGTGCCAATGATGTGTGATGATTTTCTCTACTTATTTGATGAGACGCGACATTCGTTCGGTTTCCCTTTTGTGATGTGTTTAGCGATGGCGTTCGGTGGATGCATATGATCGAGTGCATTGTTTGGCTTTGTTTTGTGGGTTCGTTCTTGGACGGATCCTTGTTTTGTATGTCTGTTATGGAAGGGATGGCAGGATTGGGATGGATAGGATAGGATTAAGATACCACAGTAGATACCAGGTTTCGACCACAACAATGAAATAATCAATTGAGTCAATTGCTTTTAATATGTGAATATACACATCTGACCAGAGCAGGCTTACTTACACCTACTACCCTCCTTCCACCTGAATACACACAACCATAACATTTAATTCATTAAACAACAACGTCAGCCACATACACTCTCCCTCCCATCCGCAAACTGCAACCGGGGTATATCACACCATCCTTATTCTCATCCTCATCACCAGCCCGCCACCTTTACCGCACTACTCATTCGAATCATAGAAGATCGACTTGAGCTTATGCGTGGCGTTGACGACCTGCTCATAGATCTTGTAATCTGGGAACGATCAGCCCACGCCGCCCATCACCAGGAAAGACACATACCACAATCCGCCGGATCGCCCAGATCCGTGCTGCCGAGCAACCGGATCCCAATGCCCTGCATCGGAAACAGTTAGCATAAATCTCCCCAGTATCAACCCCCAACCTTCAACCGTCAGGTATCACCCCAACCCAATCCCATCCAAACCACAATGATAAGAGCCTAGCAAGCCCAACCCAGTTATCACCCAAAGAGATGACACGGGGGAAAGGGAAAAAAAAAAAAAGAAAAAGAAACACGCACCCCCTCATTCAAATCCGTCACCTTCCCGATGACCTCGACCAGCTTGCCCATCTGCAGATGCGAGTCGGGCTTGAGGACGATGGTGACGTCGCCGGCGCCGCCGCAGGTGAGGGTGGCGGTGTCGCCGCGCAGGGCGGAGACGGTGCCCAGGATGCGGACGGTGTGTTTGCTGGTGGTCGAGGAGGAGGGGTGGAAGGCGTGCAGGTGGGCGGGGAGGACGCGGGGGGTTTGGAGGGACATTTTTGGGAGGTGAGGTGAGGTGAGGTTTCCTGGCGTGTCTGTCGTATTTCGAATCGATGGGGATGTTGGGGCGGGGGAAGGGAGGGGTGGGTTGTTTCGGGAGGGTGGTGTGTGGAGGGTATGCGTTGTTGTGATGTGTTGGAGGGTGGATTGAGGTGAGGCTATAGTCAACTAGTTGGCTTGGTAGGTGTTGGTTGATTGACGGTCGCCGTCGCGCCGCGCGTGACGCGAAGGCACGTGATGCACCACAGCTTACCTTCCCACTTCCACGCACACCGCTTGGAAAGAAAAACCTGGTTGAGCCTGGGGCTGCGGGCTGCCTGTATGCCTGGATGCCTTAGGGCGTAAGGCTACTAACTTAACTTTACTGGCTGGACTTGACTTTACACTACTAGGAAGTAGTAGCTTACCACTGCAGCTACAGTACACTACCAACCACAACCCACACTCTCTACACCCGATACATCCAAACCTCCACCCACACATCCACCCACACACCACACACACCCCCAAACCGCCCAAAGCCTAAGCTACAGACAAAGGCAACGCAACATGCCGCCCCCCCTCCCCTCCCACCACCGCGGCATGACCGCCAACCCGCAACGACCAAGCCGCTACCGCCCGGGCAAAGCGATCGCCGAAGAGCCTTCCTCCTCCGAGGAGGACGAGGAAGACGAGGAGGTACAACAACAACAGCAGCAAAAAGAGCAGGAAGAGCGCCGTCGTCGCGAGGAGCAGCGCCGGCGAGCGGCACTAGTCAAACCGCCTCCCAAGGCTAGTTCTTTTCCGGCTGGGGCGGCAGCAGCGGCGGCTACGTCTGGGGTGAAAGGGGTGAGGTTTGAGGAAGCGGAGGAGGATGAGGAGGGGTTTGTTACAGAGGAGGAGGAGGAGGAGGAGGAAGAAAAGATGGGGGGCTCTGTTGCTGGCGATGGGGCTGCTGCTAAAACTTCTATTGCTGCTTCTGCTTCGGTGTCTAGGGGGGGTGTGGGGAAGGGGGCACAAGTTGAGGATGAGGATGAGGAATCAGGGGAGGAGGAATCGGAAGAGGAATCGGAAGAAGAAAGCTCAGAAGAGGAAGCCCCGCGCCGCGTCCTACTGCGGCCGACATTCATCAAAAAGAACCAGCGCACCGCCGCCGCCGCGACCACCACCACCGACCCCAACGCACCGCCCGGTCACCACACCGCAAACTCGGCCGCGGACGCGGAGGCCCGCCGGGCCCAGCGCCAGGAGAAAGCCGACGCGCTCGTGCGCGAGCAACTCGAGAAGGAGGCGATCGCGCGCAGCGCGGCGAACCGGGCGTGGGACGACGACGAGCTGGAGGTCGCGGAGGAAGAGGCGATCGACGACACGGACGGCAAGGACCCGGAGGCCGAGTACGCGGCGTGGAAGCTGCGCGAGCTGAAGCGCGTGAAGCGCGAGCGCGAGGCGATCGAGGCCGCCGAGAAGGAGCGCGAGGAGATCGAGCGCCGCCGCGAGCTGACGGCCGAGGAGCGCGAGCGCGAGGACCGCGCGTTCCTGACCCGACAGAAGGAGGAGAAGGAGGCCTCGCGCGGCCAGGCCGGCTACATGCAGCGCTACTTCCACAAGGGCGCCTTCTTCCGCGACGACGTCGAGCGCGAGGGGCTCGATCAGCGCAATGCCATGGGCGCGCGGTTCGTCGACGACGTCGCCCGCGAGACCTTGCCCGAGTACATGCAGATCCGCGATATGACGAAGCTGGGCAAGAAGGGGCGCACCCGGTACAAGGATCTGCGGTCGGAGGATACGGGGCGGTTTGGGGATGGGGTCAGTAACCGGTTCGGTGGCGGGCGGCGGAGGGAGGATGCGCCGCTCGGGGTCACGGATGAGAGGTTCATGCCGGACGAGCGGCCGCGGGGTCCTACGGGGGCCAATGCGTCGGTGGTGCGCCAGAGGCGGCGATCCCGGTCGAGGTCGTACTCTCCTCGCAGGGACCGGTATGGGGATCGGGGGGAGCGGCGACGGAGTCGCGATCGCTCGACAGACCGCTACAGACCCGATGGAGGCAGTCGCAGGAAGCGCAGTCCCTCGCCCTATGATGATCGAGACAAACGGAGACGAACGGAGGATGCGCGATCGGACTAGCCGGGGGTCGGCTTGCAATGAACATGGTATTTCTATCTTATTGGCGTTCTTGGGTATCTGAGAGCATGGATTGGGGAGGGCTTTGCATATGGGAAATCGACGTTTCTTTCCCCTCTTGTATTATATAAGATTCCTCAGACCTGAGGCGGCATGTATCATACCCGACAGGTGCACAACCAGGTGGAAGACATTTGGTTGAATGTACACTCGGTGCACCTCGTCATTGACCTCGCCTAAAGAGCATCACGCCGCAACGCTGACGGCCACATCTAGACCAAAATCCGCTTCTAGCGTATCACGCAGCCCAGCCAGCAATACCAGAGCGTAGACCTGACCCGCAATGCCCAGCACAACCACCACCACCACCACTAAATCCGCATCCCAACAAGCCGTAAGCCATCATCGATGGGCCCCACCAACTGCCCCCCTGCAGAGCAACGAAACTATTTCACGCCGGCCCTCTCCAGAACCTTCTCCCGCTCCATGACGCTCTCCCCGAAGCGCAGCAGGAATATCGTGCGACTGGGCCACATCTCGGTGGGCTGGTTGTGGGCGGTGACCTTGGCCTCGAAGCCGCAGCCGTCGCAGACGCCCTCGATGATGCCGGCGACGAAGGCGGCGCAGTTGAGCATACTCATCTCCTTGGGCACGCTGATGTAGGTGTTGACCAGCGGGTCGTTGTCGGTGATCATGTACTCGTTGGGGGTGTCGGGGGAGACGGAGTGCTCGAGGGCGTCGGCGGGGCGGGTGAACAGCAGCCGCCACAGGGGGCCGTGGATGAGGTGCAGCAGCGGTAAGATGCGGAGGGGCCGGTTGGGCGGCGAGGCCGAGGTCGAGGAGCTGCTCGACAGCGCGGACGACGAGCTCGACCCCGTCACCGTGCGGTAGAAAAGGAGGTCCAGCAGCCGGAGGCCGAGCGGGTAGCCTTGTTCGTTGAGTCTGTATGTCCCGAATTCAGTGACTGTTTTCCGTTTGTTTCCGTTTGTCTCTCTCTCTCTCTCTCTCTCTCTCTCTCCCACTCTCTCTTCCCCTGGTGTATACATGCATATATCCGAGAACAAGACCATATTCGGGAGAAGGAAGGGGACAATTCTTACCGTCGCTCCAGATCCTGAATCCCCGTGACCCGGCGCTGCGCGTAGGTGACCATCTCGCCGAACAGGAAGGCGAAGCTGGCCCGGCTGAGTTCCGCATTCCGGCTGCGGTTGAGGTGGCGGTCGTAGATGGTTTTGCGGTTGGAGGGCACGCGCAAGCCCGTGCTGGATTGCGAGGGCGTCGGCAGGTGTGTTTGGGTCTGCGGGGTGCTGATGGTCGTTGTGGAGGACAGGTTGGAGTGGCTGTTGCTGTTGCTGTTGCTATTACTCAAGGAGAGCATTGTGGCGTGGCGCGGGGGTGGTTGGGCCATTGTGTTCTCGTCGTTGTCTGTGAATGTGTGCAGTCGGTCGTGTAGGTAATGCAGGAGAGGTGTAAAGTGGCAGGGGTGGGTTGTTCAGTTCATGCGGAAAGGGATTATCGACAGGCTGGAGGTCTCTGTCGAGAGGATTTCGGGTTCAATGTCTCATGCTGGTGGTGTATGGGCCGTTTGGAAGTGCGGATTCTGGGGGTGAATGGGTGTGAGTGTGAGTGGTTTGGTGGTTGTGCTTGAGCTTGTGCTTGTACTTGGGATGGAGGGAGTGGCCTTACGGGGAGGTGCAGATGCTCGGGACGCAATTCGGGGGATAGCTTCATCCATCGCCGCTCCATCGGGGGATGGTCTCGAGAGCGAGAGGTATGACGGCCTTTCATTCCTCGATCACTGCTTACGAGCAGAGCCTTGACGCAGCCAGACCATTGCGAGAGGAAGGCCAAACTACAAGCTACAATCTACAATCTACAGCGCAGCTAAGCGCGAGAAAAGACACAAAACTTTTCAGATGAAATTGAAGTTCTTCATTATTCATTTTTCTCCGAGGATGCTGACACCGTATGAGACTGCCAATAGCTAAGCCAGAACCTAAACTGCACGAGAGAATTAGCATACGCTCGTGAAAATTGGCACGTGAGATAATTCAACATCCGAAATGACCAAACAAGTCAGACATCCAAGGAAGTATTGCGCACAGAGCACGTCTATATGATGGGTTCATGGCGACGGCTAGCGTGGAAACTGCGAATGTAGGAAAAGTTTTCATCATAAGAGCCCGGGGAAAGGGGAAGGGGCCGTTGGTCATGAAGCAGATTGAAGACAGAAAAAGTGAAAGCTTACCAGTGAGTTAGTCGCATCATTCATTGACTGGCGGAACAGGTCAAAAATGATGCAGAATCCGAAGCAAGTTCAATTCCTTCGGTTGTTGCATGTCGCCAAGTGAAATCACATAAGATTCCCAAGGGATGCAATGGGTGGCATGGTGTGTCGTGCTCAATACCCGAAAGATGTCGAGGGGCATGAAGAAGAAGAAAAGGTTTTCGGGGCGGGAAGGGGTTTTTATAGTCAGCCCCACGGCCTCAGGCTGCCCCGGTAACCCTTCCGACCCATACACTACTAGTCTAACAGACAAACGAGAAAAAAAAACTTCACCGCAGCACTCCACAGTTCAAGAAAAAAGAACGTTCGAGTCGTTTACCATTATTCATAGAAATTTCTGCCGACCGACTTTTTGTCATTGACATGGGATAATGATCTAGGACTGATAGCCATCGTCTATACTGTGTCCCTTTCGAGTTTCTTCAATATGTACTGTAGCGGAACGCCACACAAAAGTAAAATCCCATATGTTGTCGAGTACTCCGTACGTAGTGAGTAAATCTTTGTTCATGCGTTCAAGCGCTGGACTGCTGGCTGGGCCAGGCCTCACGGTCGCTGCTTATTTCCCACCCTTATCTTCATGGGGTGGGTCCAACGATTTCTGCCTCTGTCGCGAGTTCCAATTCAGTGTCTTCGAGATCGTGTGCACCCAGTCGTCACCTCGTCGGCCCTTGGGCAGGACGTTGGCGAATGGGTATCGTGATGCAGATACGGTCACGTAGTCTCCTGGATGTAATTCAATCCTATATTCAATGTTAGTCCATTGGCCCAGGAGCCCTCGCACTCGCCTGCCGGACACACCTTTCTCTGCCATCAAAACTTGCCCACGAACTAGCCCGGGCATCGTACGGCACGCCCATGCGAAGGACGATGGTGTCTGGTAGTATGATAGGTCGGAACGATAGTGTATGCGCGCAGATTGCGGTCACCAGTATGACAGGGTTATCCGGGTGCGATAGAGAACCCCCAGCTGCGAGGTTGTATGCAGTTGACCCGGTGGGCGTAGCTATACAGACGCCATCGGCGAGGAGGGTGGTGAAGTGCTCGTCGTCGCCGAACAGCTCAATCGAGGACATGGCTAGCCAACAACCCCGTCAGCAAGGTGATTCCGGTAGTAACCATCAGGATCGCAGTGGAACATACTCGCATTGGGCCCCCTGTCCAGGACTACATCGTTCAATATTTGCAAGACCTTGTCCGGCCGATGGGTCAGCGTATCCTCGGCCTCTTCCCCGATCAACTCTTCCACCAGATCCCGCTTGCGGGCGTTCGCCGGCGAGCCGTCCGGTAGCGGGTTACTCCTCATGATCGTGCATTCGAATCGCAGCCGCAGGTTGACCACGACGCCCTCCTTGAAGGCGGTGGTCAGGGTGTTCTGGTAGTCGTTGAAGTCGAACTTGGTCAGGAAGCCCAGCGACCCCAGGGAGAAGGACAGCACGGGGGGCACGACGTGCTGGAACAGCCAGCTGGTGAACAGCACCGTGCCGTCGCCGCCCAGCGTGATGACGAAGTCGAACAGGTGCGCGCGCTCCGCGGCCAGGTCGTGGTCCCAGTACTTCAGGCGATGCCGCGCCGAGGGTTCGTCGCGAAGCAGCTGCGCCGCGCCAAACTCCGGGTCCGACTCCAGGCGCTTCTCCACGTACACGGTATATGGCGTGTCGCGCTCCTGGGACAAGAGCCAGCGGGCGACCTCCCGCGTCGAGCCGATGACCGACTGGTCGCCGGCCTTGGTCACCAGGAACACGGTCTTGACCGTGAGCCGGAGCTTGACGCTGTCCAGCTTCTTCGATAGCTTGCGCACGTTCCACGCCATGTCCGAGAGCTGCTTCTTGGTCAGATGGCGCGACTGCATCATGGCCTTCTCGGCCACCGTCATGTCGTTCCCGCTGCTGTCGTCGTCGTCGTCCGCCGCGCCCTCCTCGTTCAACGCCTCGTTGTCCTTGGCCGTGTAGCCCTTGACCTCTTTGATCCGGTTGGTCGGGTCTCCCCATTCGCCCGCGATCAGCGAATGTACGAAGCATGCCGTGGTTTCATCTGGGAACGAGAGGTTGGGGCGGGTGTTGGGGTCGTCCGCCATGACCAGGGACGACTTGCGGCGATGGCTGGACTCGGGGTATAGGACAACCTGGCATTTGTCACATACGGTCAGCTCTGCTCGCTGTTGACTGAGATGGAAGAGAGTAACTGAAACCATACCTCCAGCTGATTCGGATCGTCCATCTCGCCATCTACCCCTCCGTCCTGCATTCAAATCAGTTTCCCCGTGGCGTGTTCTCTCAGCCATTGAAGAACGTACAGCACCACCTTGCTTCGGACTCAAATCCATCAACGCTGTTCAAGGAAGCCTTTTCGTGAGACTCGAGCGGACAAATCGGGTGTTTGAGACTGAAGAGTCTGTCAATACCGGGAGTCGACTGATGTCGAAGTTCGAGGGTCGCGATCGGAATCGGAGTAGCTGCGGGTTATGACGTCGTTGCACCATTCCGGCGAACCTCACTACTACGCGACCGAAAACATGGTTTATGCTGGATAGCCATGGGGACTATGGTGGTGAAATTGTAGTCTAGCGCCGTATATAGCATCTGTGATGGAGCCAGGGGAGACATGGGTGCTTTTTGTCAGACTGTATAGTGTCTTCATGTCAGATCGCTGAGTCCGTGCTGGGCATTTCTCTGGTTGAACGATATATATTTTCTGACACCGGGTAGCTCCGCACCGGGTTTGGGGTACGCGCATCGCTTGTCCTACACCAACAATTATGTTCAACCACAACTTGAACTCTCCAAATTCCAAGCTTGAATACCATACTCTAACCAAGTCCCTAGCATCGAAAGATTAACCATGACCCCGGTTACAAGCATTATCACCAGACCCCAATAATCCCACCCCAAGAGTCACACCCGGGCAATTCTCAATGTATCCTTGCAGGATACATAGATAGGACAAACAAACAAGCCACCATTCTTCTCGTACCTACAAAAAGCCTCACATACAGACAGAGAGGCAGGACCCTGCAGCATGGACCATTAAGCCTCCGAAACAGCTCAACCCAGCAAGCCCCGCCGGCATCTCACGTTACACATCTACACATCAGAAAGAGTGAGACCTTGCTCCTACTGCGTGACCACAGGTAGATAGCCGAGTGCACGATCACAACTTCATCAACCACTTACCCGTGACCCAGGGGTACAGTACCTAGGCTGGCTGGTCAAGATAATCGCAAGCTCTCGGCAGCTGGACGGGGAACTTAACCTGGTGCGAACCGCTTGTTAAAATTAGAACACGAGGCTATCGTCGATAGGATGTCGGCAGTTACTTGGTACATTCAACATACACACCAGATATAGACTTACGCATACACTTTTATAGTAACATGAGAAAGTCCACGTAACGCCAGAGACGCGCATACTGTCTCACGATGATGGGATTCGATTGCTCCGCTCTCCGAGGCGGAACATGCTACAGAGTTTATGGTGATGCCTAAACAGATCCATTCGGTGGTTTCGAACACAGACGGGAAAACGGATACGGGACGAGCAAGGCAGGCAGGCAGTGCTGGATCCATGATGGAGAAGAGAATGGGATCAAGCCAAGGTGGGTATGGATGCCCCATGGGAAAAGGAGAAGGAAGGGAGTAGAATGGATGGATGGAAGGATGCGAACTTGCGAAGATACTCTAGGAAGAAGTTGCCACTTGAACCACATGGTGATCAATGCAGTCCGTTCACAGCATAACTCCACTCTTTTCCCCCCTCCCTTCCCTTGTCTCTTCCGAATGATAATGACCCTCAGCAGTTATACTGGGTTCCTGACGTATAGGGAAAGTTGCCTGAGTGTCTACCCCGTGGTTAGGCAGTGTCTGGGTTGTGTCATCATCCGTATCACCATGGGATCTGCAGGGAGCCGAACAGATTCCAGCCACACAGCCTGACCGAGACAAGACATGAGAATGGCAAGTGATTGATCGATCGTTTGTTGCAACGTCTTCCTTCCCCAAATCACCTGTACTGTCGGCCATTAATTTCGAGCACACGGCACATGGCCTAGTCCAGAACAGCCCACCGAGCGTTGCCCGGGGCTTTCTCGGGGCTCCAAGGAATGAGCTGGAACCTGGGAAGTCGTCATGAGAAGAAGGACACAGCATCAACAAGAAACGAACATCCTTGAGCCTCTGTGCCTATAGCGAAGGTTCAATAAACTCCCTCAAAAGCAAGTCTAAGGTTCGAGATCTAGCCCTAGGCGGAGCGGTCCAAAGCCACGGTCAGCCACTCCTCTTTACTATACCTAATACCTAGACTTCTTCTCTCAATAATCCAATGTTGGAAAAGAGAAAGGAATAAATTAAAAACAATTTGCCGAGTGAAAAGAGACTAGTGTTGGAATGATCATCACCACCGACAACGTGCCATGTTGCCAGCCACCGAATAATCCGAGATCCACTGCCCTAAAATAATCTCTAGACTACCTAAGTGTAAGTTTTACGGAGTACTTTGCTTGACTTTTGCTTTGCGGCTTTGCTGCTTTTTTGCTCGAGACTCCCGCGGCTCCCGTGTGATTTCATTTGCCCCTCATTCGATTAGTTTAGTTACACTTTACAGATGAGAAGCGATAGAGGATTACCAGAGTGTTGACCTTTAATCTACCAACTTATCGAACCGACAAGTCCCTAGCAAAACTTGCTTTGTTTTTTTTTTTTTTTCGCCCCCTCCCACTCTCTACAACCGGATCCGTTCATGGGAATAAGACACAGAACCAGGATTCAATTAGGGAGTGAGGAGGTGATGAACCGTCGTCGGTTCCTCTCTCCCTCGGACGTGTCTCGTTCCATGTTTCTTCGCTTTTAGGCTGGGACCGCCAGTCGCTTGCTTGATGATCGTTTCTCCCCGACCCCAGAAGCGGCGGCAGCGAAACAATCAATCAATCAATCAGCAAGAGTCCCAGACAAGTGGACCACTGATTGGAAGCGGGACGCATAGTCAGCCATGTGGCTTTCCGAACTCCAGTCGCCGATGGAATCCGGTTGCCCATACGATGAGGGACCGGTTCGAAAGATCCTCCAGACCCAGTCGACTGGCCTGTCCTAGATTGGAAGTAGGAGACTTAGCAGCACAGCAAAGGGAAAAGGAGAGAAGGAAGTCCTCCGTAGTGAGAATCGGTTTAAAGCCTCGAAAAACACAGCCCACGCCAAAGGTTAATCCGAGTCGAAGTGGAGGTGACTGAGTGACATGGACCTCGGGAGTGGAACAGGCTGCGTGCGGTGTGAGAGAAAGGCTTGCCAGACTCAGAGACTCGAGAGCGAGTCTGAAACCCAAGACTTGAGAAAGTCTCCAGTGCAGCGCATGACTCCGGGCCGGACTAAGCGTAGAGAGAGAGAGAGAGAGACTTGAGAGACATCCATCTCCTCCGCATCGTCAAACACTTTACCGCATCCGGTAGGGTTATTGGGCTTTACCGCCAGACCAAGTGTCCTTCTGGTTGCTGACGAGCCGACTATCCGTAACCATCCAAGCCCTCCTCCCCCCCCGAACTAGGCTGAGATACAGATCCCATGGCGAGACTGGCTGGCTCTGTGATAAAGTGGACTTGCCCCTCCCCAGTTTGACAAGAGGGTGGTGGATGATGATGGGCTGGCGCATTATTTGCTCAATGGAACACACTAGGCTGGCCCACCATAACGGTCAGACATCTTACCTACAAATAGACAGTCACTATTGGTAGTTGGTCGCTCCAAGGAGTGGAGCCTGGTCATAGAGTCCATGTTATCGAACCCCGTTGTATGCCGATGGAGAATAATTGCTCGCAAATGAGGGTCCGAGAATCCGACTGATGGGCGCCGACCGGGGGGGGGGGGGGGGAGGAGGAGAAGGGGAATTGGGGGGCAAAATTCAAGCGAAAGAGGAGAAATTAAACCTCAGCTAATTTTCTCCTCGTTCTGCGGTGTACGGGAGTACAGGAGCTTAGTAGAAGGCAAAATTTTCGCTGCGGCAAACGGGGAACGGGGGGAGATGACTGTAAGTTTGATTCCCCACTTCGATCTGCCGTGACAATGCAGCCAGGATCTTAAGCAGCAGCAACAGCAGCAAAAACCACAAGCACAACCACAAGAAGGTCTTCTGTTCCAGTTTCCCGCCCTGTGATTTAGTGACTTGGTTGCCTGTTTGGGTAATACATTGGTGGGACCTCCGCGGCGACTATCATTGACTGTAGTCGGGTCACGGTGCGTCGGGTCTGGTGCGATTTACGGCCGATCCTTAAATAGTGATCTGTCAATGTGGATGTGGGTGTGTTTTCCACTTTTTGCCTCTTCTGTTCGGTTTCTGCTGCGCCCGTCCCCATTTCGCGGTTGCCCTGCAATGGCAGTCACGTCGCTAGCATCGTGTTCTCTTGGATCCGCTGAATCAAACTATGGGTTCCATTCCCACCCAGTGGTCTCAGGGCTAGCTCTGCCAGAGACACTCGGGAGTGAAACGACCAGGCGCCCTCCTATCCCTAGACCACTTTACGGGGGGATGGTATTGCGTAAGCATCTGCGGAGACATTGTCACGGCAAGTGTGACGACGATGATACATCAGGCTCCAGAAAGAGGAGGTGACCGTGGTGCAGTGGTGAAAGTGACGATGATGGTGACTTGAGCTTCAAGCCCCTCTTGAGGGGCAACTAGGCTGGAGCAACCGCCCTTAGTTAAGGCAATGTGCACCGGGTCAAGGCTGTTCCTGGGTTAGTTTAATACTAAGTGATCAATTGCATAGTACGGAGTCGGCTCTAGTCTACACAATCCTCAACCGGTCAGGTGGTCTCCGCAATCCACTGCCTCTGCAAGACTGCATACTCCCCTTGTCCGCATCAATTTCTGCATGGCTGACACAGTCACACACTGAAAGTGAATGGTGGCCTGACAGCCAGTCCACCCTCGCCCCTCCATACATATAATGCACCCATTCTTGGTACCTTAGACGAGATCAGTCATGATTCAATCCTGGCATAGTCTTCATGGGGACTCAACCAGGTACTGCACCTGGTAAGGTTCCAGACTCCCCTCCCCGGTAGTATGGAACATTCATTGGCTGCACCTTACTGGCCCGATGACATGTAGGACAAAGCTAAGCACTGACCACATTCTGTGTGACCTCGAGTCCTGCCGGGGACCCTGCTTAGCTTAGATCGGAACAATGCAATAATGTTAACGGTAATCAATAGTAAGAATGCTGCAGCCATCATGGCGCCGACTTATGTAGCAATGATGGTCAGGCGTCCAGTGTGAGAACGTCCTGTACAGTACTACATATAATACATTCAGACCACTGTCGATCATATGTGCTGTACGGAGCTGTACCATACACCACCTAGTACTGTACCTACCTACCCTGGAGTAGTTATGTGGTTGCGTCGTCTGAAGATAAAGGGGCTCTCCTCTCGGTGAGACAAGGGAGGGTGTTGACCTGTTTGGTCTTTTTTTCTGTTCGGAGGTGCCATCGGGCATAATCCCACTCCTACGTACTTCCCTCCCTCCCCTTGAACATAATTCGCTGAGCGGAAAACACCTTATTTCGGTCCCCGTACATGCATGCCCGCATGCATGGACTATGTATGTATGTATGTATGTATGTATGTATGTATGCCCTTCAACTCATGGCAACCTGCAGATAAATGCCTTCCGTTGTAGCCTTTCTCATCTGGAACTCATGAAGGTACCGTTGAACGCTGACAATCAATGATTGCTTGTCTTGTCGGGGGGCTGATGGTACTTGGATGGCTCGCAAAGACATCTAGCGTATAGTCCTTATGCTGGTCCATATGACTTGTGCAGAAGTCCGAAGTCCGAGCAGAGGCGCCAGACAGCCCTGGTCCTGGTGTGCTGCACCTTATCGCTGAAGGCATCCTATCCAGAAATGACCCACTTGAGCGGTACATTAAGGGCCCCCTACGTAATCAGAGAGAGCCAGGCAGTTGATCGAGAATCATTCATGCATATATGCCGATTTCAGACATCGTGGCGTCGGCCGTGGCTTGCGGTCGGCTACTGTTTCTCAGTTTAGGACGATGAGTTTAGTCTCTACACTGGCGGAGGACCTTCTCAAGCCGAAGGCAGCAGCAACAGGGTTGTTGAAGCCAGTGGGCTGTGTCATCGAGGAGATGGCGAGGATTTGATTAGCTTCGAGCACTAGTACGGTCGAGTTCATCACGAGAGCAAGCAAAGTGTTAATGAACGGTGCAGGTTGCTGTGGTGTCACGATCGACCCAACCACAACGCTGAAGTCACTGATCTGAGCTCGAGCTGCAGCCCCATGCATGAGCCTCTTGGTCTCCCTCGTTTGACGAGGCAAGGTAGTCGCAGAGAGGCTTGAATACCGACTGGACCTGACAACCAACACATCGCAGTATGCGAGGCTCTGGGAATAGCAACCAGTAATCTCGCATCCTGTGCTGGCATCGTAAATAGTGTATCAGATATACAGCGGGGCCTTTCATGCCACACATATAGGCAAGTTTGTTTACCGCTGAATGTGTATTTCGCTTGTCCAGTGGAAGGGCGCTCGGGCCTGACACGAAGCCACTATAGTTGATGGCTAGTGCTACTAGTGCTACTATAGATTATAGTACGTAGCAGCAATAAACAAAGAGCGCAAACAACCGAGGCGACGAAGCTAAGACATTTTATCTCACTGTTGTGACTCGTGGTGAGACCGTGAGGAGTGATGAAAGACGACGAATGATCCGCCAAACTGCGATCTTCGTGTCCTACTTGCGGTACAGGTCAATCAGTTGGTTGTTGGTCGATCTTGCCAGGGTTACTCCATACAGCAATTTAGTTCTGTTTCCCGGGCGGCGACCGCTACTTTGCTGGTTTCTGAATCGAGCCGAGTACATGAATCAGGCGTCGGTCGGATTATGGAGAAGCTAGGGCACCATGCAGATGGATCAATTGTTGATTGACCCCAGTGTTTGTTTCAGGAGCAGAGTCTTGAGACCAGTAGCACAGCAGAATGCCTGCCTGCCTTCTGATCGAACTATCCGAGAGTCGATATTTCGGGCGACTATCCCCATAACTTAGCTCCATAGCTAATCCTCGCCACCCTGATAACCGCCATTTGACTGAGGAGAACAGCGTCACAGAGCTCGGATCTCGACAAAGGAAAGGTCGACTGTGCAGCAGATCGATAAAGATTGGCATGGCACCCTTCTCCACACTTGGAATTCGCCTGCGTCTTACCAATCATGATGCATACGGTCGCAGCAACGGCCGCAAAGATGGTCATTTACGGTACCTTCTACCTTCAAGAATGATCCGCCCTCTTGGCTGCTTGAAACCTAAGCACTACCGGTCAGTTACCCAGTGCTATGAGGTTTTCTCAGTAAGCGCCAAAAGCATGGACAATCAACGCCAACGCAGGGCTGTAGTTGTTGCGCCCGATCTTTAGTCTCCAGACTGCGTTTGGCTGTCTACAATAGCGGAGTAGCGGGTCTTCTGTCGGTAATGATCAGCATGGTCGATGAAGTACTCATTGAGTAACTTATCATACACTTTTCACTAACTGCATAGAGTATACCACCGGCCCTGCGCTGAGGTGAGCTGACTTGTTGAACTCCCCTGCTTGTACCCCGTACACCTCTACAAGTAAGATCAAGTAGGGAATGCGGAATGCTCTACAGAAAACTGGCCAGAAGCGCTATGGTGTACGGTACGCAGTACTTACGTATACCCCAAAGCAACAGTGACAGCCAAGGGATCCCCTACTGCAGTGAAAGTCCCGAGTTGGTACTGATACATGGGCCTCCGGTCCAGTCTAGGCTGGATCACGTTGGCTATCTGACTAATTCCCATCCGTTTTCAGCCAAACTCATTAACACGGAGGGGGAAAAAAAGTCAGCTAAGTCAGCTGCAAAAGTCTTAGGAAACCCCGGCCGACTAGCCGCGGTGAGGACGGAGATTCGGAGACAGACAAGAGATCCACTTGCACTAAAATGGCTTCATTTCTCAACCTCGGCCATTTTTTCTTCCCTTTCCCATTTTTGATTGCTGTGGGAATTTTCCTTTTTGCCCCTCTAAGCCCCATCCGCGAGAAAACGAAGCTGACCCCTGACCTTCTGGAATTTTGTTCGTCTCTTTTGCTTCCCTCTTTGCACCGTCCGTCCCCTGCAGTCGAGTGGGCCCTGCACATGCGCTCCGATGGCCCCTCCTGTAATCTCCGGCCTCTGATTTGTAGTCAGAGCTAGGCGATGATCTCAATTGTCCGATCACTTGCGTTCAATGATATGATGTAGTCTAGTCTAGATTACAACCGCCCAACCCGTCGCACGGAGGTTTTTCTTTGTCTTTTTTCTCTCTTTATTTTCTTTGCGTTGAATATCATTCTGGGGGCCTTTCATTCGGCCGTTTGCTTCTTTCTACCCTAGTTCCAGCCTAGGTAAAGTGACTAAACCCCAACGCCTCTCTCTCCGGGGAGCTGGGCTGAGGACATGGGTTCGGAACAGGGACAGGTTCCAACCACAGATCACAGCTTGTGCTTCACCCTGGCCTTGAAAAGGCCCTCCTCAGGAATCCCGGTTGAAGGTCGATGATGTTAGGTTTCACCAAGCTGATCACCGGTCGCGAAATGCGGATTGCTCCCTCTTGATTACTAGCGGGAAGGTCTATTACCCATCACCCTTTGGCCCGATGCACGCAGGGTTAGGCACTTTTGCTTTTGAAGACCAGTTTTCCAGGCAGAGGGTCGAAAACGGAAGACAAAAACAGGGTGACTTGAAAAACGAAGAGAGAAAAAAAAACAGAAAAAAAAGAAAAAAGCCCAAATCGGCTACCTGGCCCTTCAAGTTCAGCCTTCAAGCTCCAGTTCCTGTACCTGGGCTCTAGACGGGGTCCTCCCGGGCTCTAAACTGGAAGTGGTCAAGCTCCGTTGAAAATCCGTCCCAGTCCGGTATCAACCCTTGTTCTGGAAATGGTCTCCATCGGCTCATCCTCGCCGTGTGTAAGCACTACAACTCTACATATAGTAGTACTGTACAACTAATCAATGGAATAATCCTCCGCCCGCCCCCTTCTGTTCAATGTTCATATATCAAGGTCAAAACTAATTATCGCTCATCGGTTGATGGACATTGGATCCAACCTGCGATTAATACATAGCGTGGCAGTCATTTGCACGGAGACTTCATTGCGGGGCGTGCAGCCGCGGAAACTCGTAATGGATGGCGGCAGCGTACGGAGTCCTCCATCCGTACTGTACATACACAGACAATGAACAGCTAAGCTATGATTAGTGTCAGTCAGTCTGACTGGTCACAAAGCCCTATTCCCTTTTCTCTAGATCTCATCATCACCACCACCACCACCACCTACCACCTCCACCATTTTCGCAGGGGGGGGGAAAGGGAGGAAGTGGGTTAAGCAATCTTTGATTGAAGTTATGCCAGAATGTTGTCATCCTTCATTGCCGAAGTTCCCGCTCTCTCCAGGCTCTCTCTCTCTACCGTACGCCTTTTGGGCCCCGCCGCCCTGATCTTCAGTTGCTAAGTACGTTACTCCCGTCATTCTTTCGGTGAAGGTATTTTGAGTGTCCCTCCCCAAACCTAACCCAAAACCAAAAAAGTCGGCGGGTTTATCAAGTTGCTTTTGGTTTTTCCCTTTTTTTTTTTTTTTTTTTTTTTTCTCCTGGCGCGTCTTTACTCAGTACAACCCGCCGATCGAATCCATCCCACATTTCTTCTTTCCTCCTCGTCTCAGTGCACA